GAAGGGCGCCCAGCCCCCGCCGTGCCCTTCCCGCCCCCCGGGCTGCGGCGCCTCCGCCGGGGCCCCGTCAGACTCCCGCGCTGTCGGTGACGTCGTGCCTCTGCCTCTGAATGACTTCTGAAAAATGTGAGAGAGGTTTAAAAATCTCAAATGTCTTTTTATTCCCCTAATGTTTTTTTTTTCCCCCCCCCCCCCCCGAGTGAAGAGTATGTAAATTGTCCCCTGCTTTTTCAATAAGGTGTTTCGGACCTGCATGGCGTTTTACCTGCAAACGTGTAATTCCAGATGTGCTAAGATCACAAATGAATCTCTTATCAGGTTTACTATGGGGAAAAAAAGAGATACCATTAGGCAAGATTAAATTATCTCAGTGTCGTTACAATTCCCATTAAATACGAGAAGTCGCATCCCACATTTGCGGGGTGTGTGTCCACGCAATTGTTTATTAAGACTAATAAAGCAGGGGCTCACCCTGCGGCAAACGGGATTACTTATAAAACATGCATTGTACTGAGTATGTAGTTACTAGAGTAGCTGAGTTCCACTCTGTTAAGTGCTACGTTAAGGTGACATGACACATCTCCAGGCTGACGTGTTCGCAGTCTTTCATCCCAGCAGATGCCGATGACTACCTCGATTCACTCGGAAGTTAAAGTGCCCAAATAAGTCTGTGAAGACAAGTCGGGGATACACTTCGTGAGGCGCTCGCTGCTCTTCAGATATCGAATTCCTCTGAATTGCTTTCCTCATTTTGTTCTTTAAACCCACCCGGCTAACACACTGCACCATTGCTGACGGTACACTTGTCTTCCATATTGCCTGTTTGCCTCGAAAAGCAAAGTTTCCAAGCCATCGCGTCTCTCATTGCCTTTTCCATGTTTATTTTACTACTTCCTGTCTCCTTTTGCTCTGCAACCTTCTCCAGCGGTTGACTTCACTTCTGAGACGTCCCCAAACGGTTTTTTTTTTCCCTTTTTTCCCTTGCAGCCACGCTGGGGGCTGCCAGCAGACTGGCAGGTAGCAGGACGGGTCTGAAGATAAGCTCCTCTTGCCCTGCTTTTGAGGTTTCCCTTAACCCGCGCCTCTTCCACAGCAGTACAGCGCGGGGATAAAAAGGTACTACCCGCTGAAAAGCTCAACTTTTGTCACGATTAGTTATTATTTCTTAACGTACCAGCAGGGTCAGCTGCTGCGC